GTGTTGCCGCCGCCGCCGCCACTGTTGCTGTTGACCGCCGCGCCGCTGCGGGTTTTAGCGAGTCGAACTCCTCGCTGCTGCTCCTCACGAAGCTTCTTGAGTTTCTTCAAATACACCGGCCGAGTGTGTTCGGTAACTGGACCCGGAGTGAAACCGAGGCGCTTCAATTCGGAGTAAAGCTCCTCGTCCGTTAACTGCGTTGACGCCATCTTGGTCCAACTCTGGCAAAGGACTTTGGGGCGGAAGTGACGTAGAGCAAAGTGACAGGCTGCTGTGTTCTAATTGGATTAGACCCAAAACTTTGGCAGTTAAAACACGCAAAACGGACTAAAGACCGTCTTTGATTTTTTTTTCTAGAGTGAATATTCTCATCTATGATGAAAGATAACCGACAAAAATGATAAAAAAATTATGTAAATGTACACTACCGATAACACAACTCCCCAAAACTCTAATTACAAAGTATGTTATTTTGAGTATTTATTTGCAGAAATAGTACAATTTGTCTCCAGAAGACTTTAGGCTACTCTTTTGAGCAGGATGTTTACCCGGTACATTATGTATTTATTTAATCTATTGTTTCAACGTATACGAATATATTTAATGGATAAACTATCTTCTCTATTTATTCCGTTTTATTTTTCTGAGAAGCTACTGTCACCAAATATCTCGATGGATGAAAGCCAACCTGCAATCACGCTCTAACAAGAAATGCGCGACGCTGATTGGTTGTTGACGATGAAGGATGAGGAGTGGATTGGTTGTGTGAGCACACGTGACTAACTTTAACGTTCCTCGCGCTGGATTCAACACGTTTGAAAAAATAGAAATAAAACGTACACGTTCCCAAATTTATGTTTCTGTATTCACACCCAAGATGCAATATGTATATTACATAAATAATATTGAAACATAGAAGCGAGCTCCCAAAAAAAAAAACCCAAATGTAGCCGCCATCTTGGAAAGGTAACGACGTATAGATTTCCGGAATTAATACAAATTGATTTTCAATGGAAAATCGTGCTTTTTTACAAGATTGAATTGTGAAATATATTTCCATCAAAGCTTTATTTTACATCTTTCGCCGTGGATCTACCTCCGCTATTCAAAATGTTAATTTTGGATCGTTTTAACTGATTAATTCTGAAAACAAATGCATAATTACGGCTTTTTGTTTGTATTCTGAAATTGGACATGCAGGTATGCTCACACAAATTGTGACAACTTAGTGTTTGTTTGGTTTGAAATTTATGATAATCTTTTATTTGCGCCACACTGGGAGAAATTAGGTTACAACAATGCCCGAACACAAAAACTGTCATTCCACCCACATAATATTCCATATTCAGACTTAAGAAAACATTCTTAATAGCTCAAGTAAACAATGTAATCTGATCAAACCTGCACAACCATCACATGTTGAATATTGCACAAATACAGATAGTACATTTTTTCAAATACATTTTGAGCAATTAAATACAATTCAAAACAGGCACACATAAAGACATTCCATCCAATAACAGTATTTAAATCTGTTGACAATAGATTTATTTTCAATTTATAATAGGTTATATCCAAACACAATCTGTTGTGGGAATTAATCCAATTCAAGCCTTTAAAACGGACATCGGCCTTTTTAGTGCTTTTTCATCGAGTCCAGGATACGCAAAATATGAAGGAAGAGGTTGATGATGTCCAGGTAGAGATTGATTGAGGCCAAAATGTGTTCCTCGGGGGAGAGCTGCTTCATCAGCAGGTGGGTGTCGTAGATGATGAAACCGCAGAAGACGAGCGCCCCGGCCCCGGCGAACAGCAGCTCTGTGCTGTCACTGTTGAAAAACACCTGCAAAGAACACCAGGAGCCAGTGAGCCTCTATCAAGAAAGCGAAGTGGACTAAAAAAAAAAACAAATAAAATAAAATGAAAAAATCAGTTAATGCTCTCTTTGTGGCGATTTTGTGAAATCTCTGAAGTCGCCATTTTCACCAAGCATCAACGACACAGTCAATTGAACAAATAAAACTGAAGCCACGTCAAATAGATCCACTCACTCTCATAACGCCTGCAATCAAGAGGATCCACAACGCGGAAAAAAGGCTGCAACACAGAGCAAATCATAAACAGGACTGTAAATCTCGACGCGCCCTTTGTCCCTTTTTCAGCCAACTTACGCTGCTCCCAGTTTGGTGAAATCTCTCTTGGACTGGAAGGTGTAGGCGGTCAGTCCGGCAAACACGGCACAGGTCAGGAACAAGGCTTGGAGCACGGTGGAATATTCGTAGAAGGTCACTGTTCAAAGAGCGCGGCTTCGTTATCACGGCGGTCGAACAAAGAGATACTCTTCAACGGTACTTTGGCTAACGAGTTGAATTCATTCCGTGACCAAGCTTGTACTCATATCAAATCAATTTACCTCATTGAAATGAATTGAAATGTCATTCATCTGTTGTACTTACAAGCAGTGGCCACTGAGATCGCCTCAAGCAAAGTCTGTGAACAACACACAAGTCATTAAAAACCCTCAGATGTCAACCGATAAAGCAGTACCCATCACTTACGAATACAAGCAGCAGGTAGAGGTTGACGGGATGCTTGTGTCTGTACACGGCCAAGGCCAGAAGCAGGACCAGAGAGCCCAGAGCGGAACCCAAAACAATAGCTGGGCTGCACATGGTAACATGTTGATGGATGTATACACAACTTTTAAGGCTTATGTATTCAAACCCATTGTCATGTCCTCACCTGGCATGGACAAAGTCCTTGATGGTCTGACAGAACATAAAAAGGGCAGACGTTCCCGTCGTTAGAATGATCTGCAAGCTAAGGAGGGTGTACACCTTCCGCAGGAAATCTGAAAAAAAAAAATAGCAAAACAAACTTAGTTTTACAGCGATAACAGTTTGTTTTCAACGTGCAATTAAGGTCCCACCCACAAAACCAGAATGGCAAGACTGCCGCGAGCAAATCGAATACAGGCATTGAATTGACAATAAGCGAATAAACACGGAGGACGACCCAGCTAGCTAACAATATGGTTGTTTTACATCAATACATTCACGGGCACACTGTAAACAAACCGGAGAAATCCTGCATACGCGTACGTTAGCTAGCGGCTAGGGTTTCGAGATACGTCCAATCAACTACTTCACGTACCCATTCGTATTTGGACACTGGCTGTAGCAACATTTGTGCCATAGTTGAAGTCATCTTCAATCGAAGACCTCGGGTATTTTTCACTGCTCATCTTGAAAACGCTCCAGGTGTCGTCGTTGGTCCTGAAAAACAGCTGATTATAAACCGAAGATCGATGCGGAATAAGGACGCGGGGTGATGACGTCACCGAACATTGTAAATAAACCTTTTTTTTCAGCAAACCTTTATTGAATAGGTATTAAAGGCGGCTCCTCGATAGATGTTCTAATATTTTTTATCGTACATCAGTTTCCAGCTTACGTGTACTTATTCCACTTAAATGTGTATTCTTGTTTTCCACAATTGCCTTGTAAATAGACAAGTGCTGATTTCTTAAAGAAATACAGTAAAGCCAAATCTTGATGTACTGTACATTTTGACACTTATTTTGCACCATTTCATTTGTAAATAAAGTTTCTGCACAAAAACAAGTCATGTCGGGACCATAAATGGACACGTCGTGCAATCGTAGCTGCGCTGTTGCATAGCTGGAAGTGTCGCGGGACGTGTTACCAAGCTTGTCCGCTTGTGGATGTCCAATCCGCGGGCTCATGTTTCAGACAGTCACCCTCAGCCTGTCACTTTGTGGTCGCCAGCGCTTTTTTCTTTACGTCTCGCTCCTGTTCTTCCTCCCCACTGGTATGTCTCCGTATTTTGCATTTATTTCGTAAAGCTGATGTTTATGTAACAGTGCCGAATGCGATTGTTTATAAATACTGCCCTTCGAAACGATGACTTGCATTTCAGGCTGCAAGCGGGGGCTGCAGGTACGTCAATAACAATGTCATAAACACAGAGTCGAGCGATTGCTTTTGTCGCCAAGACAACATAAATAGGATTCGATGTTTGCTCGTTTGACAGGAGGCAAATTATTATTATAGTGGTGGATGATGGGGGACGAGAGGAGTTGAACTGATGCACACAAAAGTCTCTGCGTTTCAACATGGCGCCTTCTCGATGACTCCAGCAGCTTGTGCAATTGTAAAAGTTTAGTTTCCATGAAAAGCAACAATGCCTCAGATAGTTTACTCGTAATGCTACACCTCTGCCTTCATTTAGTGTCCGCTGAACTATTAATATTCAAGTCGTCCCCGCCTCTGGTTGGAAACCCTCTACTTTTCTCTTTATTACATATATGTAAAAAAAAAAAAATCCGAACAGCCATGCATGTGTAATGAGTTACTCATGACGAAATTTTATCTGCCGGATTGACTGTCACTAAAGACCAAATTTATAGCAACTGTTCTAAATTCAAAATCTCCCAAACAGCACAAATTGTAGTCCCAATGTTTGGACAAATAATTAAGCTTATTCTCTGTCTCTCTATAGTGTGACAATCTCATGGCCGCCCTGCTCAGACGTGGGCTCTTCCTGCCCTTGCACCGTCTATCTGGGCAAAGCAGCGGCTCAGTCTGTCGCCCTGCAGTGTCCGCCATTCTGCTAGGTAGAGTGATTTTTCTTGAGCTTTAGTAGAATTCCGAAAACTGGTCCGATTTCTATTTCCTAGTTTTTTTTTTTTTCAAACATTTTCTACCCATCTACCAATTTACACTCTCATGTGCGAATCAGCCGCCCAAATTAAATTTCCCGCTCGTGGAAACATTTGTTCCAGAACCTCAACTGTCACCAATCTAAAAACTTTATTTACTCTACGGAAATGTTTGGTACACAGCGTTTCAACATTCTTGTCATACAAGCACAAGCAGATTAGCGACTCTAATATGATGACTTTAAAAACTCTTCAAACACTTTATGACAAACAACTATTACGCCATTATACATAAAAGACTACCTCTTGAAGTGACAAGCATATAGCAGCTAACTTGTTGCCTGTAGCAAGTTAGCAGCTAGCATGAGAAGCTAACGTGGCAGTCAATCACTCGATTCGGTGACTTTATTCACGCTTAAGCAGTCTCATTGTATTTCTAGCTCGGTATCGCTCTCGTGGTTCTTGTTGGACTTTTCATGTTCGTCTGCGGCCATTTTGTGCCACGGCCTAACAAAAAGGCTGCTTTGTAGTCAGAAAGGGAGTCAAGCACAGGGTTGATTGTGACCTTAACACATCTCATTTGTCATCTTGACATCCATGTCGCTTCTTTTAAATCCTGGGCATCAAGCCATCATCCGCTAACATTTTGCTTCCTTTCTAGGTGTCAGTTCCGAGTCGTAACCATTGCTTTCCATGTCTCGCATGAACCGGGAGTCCCAAATAACACCCCCCGCTCCGTTATCGTGACCTCTTACGTGTTGTTGTCTCTCCTTGTGTCTGCTCCTCTTCATCCAGCCCAGGCCTTGTTGTAAAGCCCTGCTGAGGAGGGTGTTTTGATTCTAGTGGTGGTTGGAGTGTCTCTCTTCAACAGCCATGTCGGGCTTCAATCTTCTCCATCTAATAAGCAAGAGTCAGCCTGTGACTCTGAGGTCCTGCAGTCTTCCCTCAGGTCCACTGACTTGGGTGCCGTGTGCCTGCTGTGCTCTTGCCTCTCTCTTTCGTAAAAATAAAAAGCCTTTAACTTTTGGCTGGCGTGTCAGCATGTTCTAACAGTCCTCGTCCGTGTGTGTCTGTGTTCACACCGATGCGCTGCTTTCACTGGTTTTCTTAATTTCCATCAAACCTCCCTGGGAAAACCAATCGCGCTGACACTTGAGAGTTTCCATGCAGATCTGATCAAAGGTGTTGGACCTCAATTTTTAGGAGCAAAAAAAAAAAAAAATTGTCCCAGTGAGGTTCCCAAATCTTCCACGTCGCGCTGATTACTTGCTTGTGTTCATTCACTCCTGTTTGAGTCTTAAAGTGGAAGCACAGGTCGAAAACTGGGAAGAATGGACAGAGAAACAGCGACAAGCAAAGTTTTTTGCATTTGGTACCATTACTTAAATTGAACACTATATTGCAAGTTATTGATGTTTGTTTGTTTTGTTGGATGGGGGGGGGTCAGCTTAACTCCTGGTGCTGAACTTCTTGTGGCATCTTGAAACAATAGAGGCCAAATGGGAGTGCGCTGCTTGGCTGCAGCCAGCAGAGGCGCTGTTGAGTCGCTCAACTAGTTTGTGGGCCATAGAAGAAAAACACGATGGGGGGGCTTCAGCTCCACATGACTTCCCTGCATCATTGTTCTATTCAACACCGAAATGAAAACAGAAATTAAGAATATTGAAAGTTAAATTAAAAAAAAAAGATGAAACACTATAATTAGCCCAGATGCTAGTCTTAAAACAGCGACAAAAAACATCCGAGGTTGTAACGGTTATGACAATTAGTCCAAGAACAAGTCGATACTGTAATTGACTTGGGGGTGGGGGGGAGGTTGCAGCATATTATAAATTAACACACATGTATGCTAACGCTTTAGTTTCATGGCTGTTTGCTTTGTTCGTTGTCACACGCGTAGCATCTGGGCGCTAACAATACAAACCAAATGGTTCACTGCTTGGCTTCCTTGCAGCTTGCACGCACTAGATGGGTTTGATTTTGTTTGACTAATTTATACACCTAATTTTCAAGGGATTTGCTTTGGATCATATCCCGAGGAGAAGAAAAATCCTTATTGTCGCAAGTTTCAGTGAAAAGAATAATCGCGCTGCTTTAATTGCTGACTGCAACCGAGTTTAATATCATCAATCTTTCCCATAGGAGCTGCTCGAACCAAGAAAACATGGCCGGTGACCTTCTCTCAGGAGGAGATGAAGAAACGTCTCACGCCCATGCAGTATCATGTGACCCAGGAACGAGGAACAGAGAGGTGTGGGCCTTCAACCACTTGCCACACACAAATAGGGTGTCTTTTTGTTCCGCCGTTAACTAATTTAGCATTATTTGTTCCTTCGTTCACAATGTTAGCATGGAACTATGTTTTGTTAGCATAAAATCCAACGTTGCCGTATCGGTGCAATTTCTGACGTGCAGTACAGTAACCGGCACCGGGATACTGTTATTTGTTTTGTATTATTATTTTTTTGTTTGCACAAGTATATGTATTTCAACTTCATTTCAGAGTGCGATTACTTTTTCCACCTCTGCCTCCTTCTCTCCAATCTGCACAGTGCCTTCACTGGAGAGTTTACGTACCATAAGGAAGAGGGAACCTACATGTGTGTAGTCTGCGGTGCACCATTGTTCAGGTGAGATCTTTTCTGCATGCGTGGCTTAATGTCGATGCATATTATGTGCTATATTTATGGTGTTTTTACTTTTTCTGTATTGATTGTGTTTAATTTATTTTTATATTTATAGCCAGGAAGTCTTTTTCATGCAAAAACTGGAAGTCAGACTTTACCTCGGTGTAGGTTAGCTGAAGCTAAGAAGAGACAGTCGGTGTTTTATCACTAATACTGATTCTTCCAGGAACGGGCACCGGGATACTGTTATTTGTTTTGTATTATGATTATTTTTTTCGCACAAGTATATGTATTTCAACTTCAGTCCAGAGTGCGATTACTTTTTCCACCTCTGCCTCTTTCTTTCCAATCTGCACAGTGCCTTCACTGGAGAGTTTACGTACCATAAGGAAGAGGGAACCTACATGTGTGTAGTCTGCGGTGCACCATTGTTCAGGTGAGATCTTTTCTGCATGCGTGGCTTAATGTCGATGCATATTATGTGCTATATTTATGGTGTTTTTACTTTTTCTGTATTGATTGTGTTTAATTTATTTTTATATTTATAGCCAGGAAGTCTTTTTCATGCAAAAACTGGAAGTCAGACTTTACCTCGGTGTAGGTTAGCTGAAGCTAAGAAGAGACAGTCGGTGTTTTATCACTAATACTGATTCTTTTTTTTTTTCAGTTCAAAAACCAAATTTGACTCAGGGTCAGGTAAGAGCAACCTGAATATATACCTCAATAGGTTTGCGATCATAAATTTACGTGTGGAGAGCCGCAACATGACTTTCCCCATTCATGACACGTGCAGGTTTTACGTACCATAAGGAAGAGGGAACCTACATGTGTGTAGTCTGCGGTGCACCATTGTTCAGGTTAGATCTTTTCTGCACGCGTGGCTTAATGTCGATGCATAATATGTGTTATATTTAGGGTGTTTTTACTTTTTCTGAAAAACTGGAATTCAGACTTTACCTCTGTGTAGGTTAGCTGAAGCTAGGAGGAGACAGTCGGTGTTTTATCACTAATACTGATTCTTTTTTTTTTTTTTTCAGTTCAAAAACCAAGTTTGACTCAGGGTCAGGTAAGAGCAACCTGAATAGATACCTCAATAGGTTTGCGATCATAAATTTACGTGTGGAGAGCCGCAACATGACTTTCCCCATTCATGACACGTGCAGGTTGGCCTTCCTTTTTTGACCTTCTGAAAGAGGAGTCCATCGATGTGTCAGATGATTTCTCCTACGGGATGCACAGAGTGGAGACCACCTGTGGCCAGGTACGCTAACGACACTGTACAATATCGAAAAGACGGCAAGATTTTTGCGACTATGTTCCTATAGTGATGCAATAGCTGTGTACAGAAAAGTATCCCTTCTGGGATATTTTTGGGATTAATTTCAAATTCATGAATCACTCATTGAAATAGTTGTCGAGTAATTGGTTTAAATAACCCAGGATTGTCATTTGGGTTATTTTTAACCATCCATTTAATTTTCTCCATTGTCGGTCCCTCCCTTTGGAATTACCTGCTGTGAAACGCTAGGCATGCCCCCCTCACTGTCCATTTTAAAAACTCGTCTTAAAGCGCATTTTTTATTGTCTGGCTTTTGGTTTCATGCTAATGCAGTGCGGAGCCCATCTTGGACACCTGTTTGATGACGGTCCAAAGCCCAGTGGAAAACGTTACTGCATCAACTCGGCCTCGCTGTCTTTCCAACCCAAAGATGCGGATGGGGCCTCTGGCTCCGCCTCCACAGGGGCCACCACAGAGTCCTCGATATCCGAGGAAAGGACGGAACTATAAGAACCCAGCAAAGCTCCTATCTAGTGTGTGTTTGAGTCAACGGTTGCATCAACTTATTATACTTAAATCAATTCACAATTTTGAGCTATATTGGTAAAAGCAAGGCACACAAAATCTTTTCACATTCATATAAGACTGACCAAAACTATGACACTCATATTCACCAATAGGAAATGTACTCACAGATGGACGATGTCCTTTTTCATAGAAACACACACTTGTTTATTTTGAATATACTAGAGTCTATTTTGCGTGTACCTTTGATGATATTTGACGCTTTTAAGGTGCGATTAAGGCTCTCGGGCAGAGGCAGAGCATTTGGATTGTGTTTGATGTGGACACTATTTTGTATTTTATTCAAAATGGGATTTATCATTATAATTATTTTTTTGCACAGCTTGAAGTGCCCAATGCATTCAATTGATGAATAAAACTACAAAATAATACGGCTGATTCTCCTCTTTAAAAAAAAAAAATCAGTAACTTTCATTTGTGGTTGCTGTGACAGTTGTTTTTACTTTTTTTATTTCTTTTTTACTTACATTTAAACTCGTAACTTAAGCAAATATGTTATGTTTGGAATAGATGGAATTGTATTCAGTTATATGTTCCACTGTATTGTGGAACGTACTACTGAGTGATGACAGAATAAAGAATAAATTAGACTAAACACTGAAATAGCTGCTTATTTTCAACCAAAATTGACAACAGCTACTTAAAAATGTTGAAATAGAAATGATAAGGTTCCTGAATGCCTTGTTAAATGAGAACTAACATCATTAGGGTATGGGTCAAAGGTCAAAAGGACGTGCTACTGTATATGTACCTCAGCCAAGGATGCAGTTGGTCTGTTGAGTGACCAGGAAGACACAGAAAACAACTAAATGTAACTGCGAAAGAGTGACCAAAATGCAGTTCTGACAGAAATACCAAAAAAAAGTACTTTTACAAACCCTGTGGCAGGAAACGTAAAATTTTAAACTAAAGGATATGCAAAGGGATCTTGTGGTTCGTATTTTATGAAACTATGACTAAAATCTGCAGACCTACCTTTTATGTTGCATAGTTGGTCTCTATGATGCATTCCTGACATCATAAAGGCCAACTTTTCACTTGTAACTCTTCCACATAGTCCTAGACGGTCACATTTCTATTTTTCATAATTTGGTACAGGGGGAGGGGGAAAAATGACAAAATGGATGCATTTTTTCAACTCCCACCCGACTGGAGCCATTTCAAAATATGGAGCAAGAAATAACCGACTCCTTCGGGCCTGTCATGAGAGTGGACTGAGGTTCTGTGACCTGCGACTGCCCCTTGACTTCACGCTGTGGATAAACCCCGGTGAGGCTTTTTGCAGGTGAGGGTGGCCCTTTGTAGGACAAGCAAAAAGAGTCACGACAGCACTTTGAATGCCTGTTGAGGTCAAAGTTGCTTCGCAGTACTTCGTGTGTCATCGTCTGCACTGCCACCTGTTGGTCAGATGTTGTAAGTGCAAACTCTTAAAGCCAGCAGAAATTAATTGCAGGTGTCTGTCCGTTTTTTTCTATTTATTGTGTAATACCTGACAAAATTATAATTGCTACTACTATAATTTTCTTGAATTCCTGTTGTGTTTCTTAAAGGCTGAAAGTTACGTTTTTTTTTTTTTTTAAGCGCGTTTATGCACTTGCGGGTCAGTTTGGCGACAGCAGCCTTTGACGCGCGGCTGTTTGAGAGACGACAATACGCTTCAGATGTCTTTTCGCTTATTTGGAAACCGTGCTTCAGATCAATAACAGATTTTATGTCTTTGCATTTCGAGCCAAGTCAAATTGAATTAAACTTACCCACGGGTGAAAATGTTTTGTCTGTCGCTTTCCCGTACCCGGTAGTTGACCCGGAAGTACATAAACAACAACAACAAAGGCATCGCTTGCAAAAAACAAAATAATAATAATAATAACTTGGCGTTATTTCGCAATCTTTGCAGGGAACGCAAACGTTTTTTTTTCTCTTCTACGTCACCTTAGGGCCTCCGTACAACATAGAGAGGAAAAATTGCAAAAGATTTTATTTCGTCGTGTAAAATCTCTTCACGTTTCTTATGTGTTCGTTCGAATTAGCAACTGCACACAGGTATTCCAGACGACATGATTAGATTTTTTTAGACATGGCCCGAGCACAATTGGGGGTTCACTCAAACTGGGAAATTAATTTAAGTTGAATTGTTGACTCATAATCATTTTTTTTCTTTTTAGTTGAATCCTCTTGCTAAGTAAGAAAAATAAAAATGAAATGAAAAAAAAACACGACGTCTATTTTTTATTTATGTAAAAAATTGATTGAGTGTTATTATTATTTTTAAGAGTCAATAGAACGATCGTCCTTAACCGACTTCACAAAAGCACGTCGCGGGCATGTTGTTTTAAAACTGTTTGAACCTTTTCATGCTAACCTGTAAGCTGAGAACATGATAAACTGTCCACTGTAGTAACCGCCGCCCCTCAAATGGTGAAAATTGGAAAATGTAAATTCCGGTTGAATGACAAAATGTAGTTTTAGAGGCTTGCAAACAGCATGAGGGTCAAGTTGACTGCATAATGTATTTTTCCGGCGCAAAGGTTTTAGCATGGGTGTCAAACTCATTTTCACGGCTGGCCACATGGCAGTTATGGGTCCCCCCCCTCCTCCCTGCCCCCCGAAGGGGGCTGTTATGACTCATATAAATGTATGATAAAAGACAAATCCGACTTCACGCAAGGTTATGACTTTCAGACGTCAAATCCCCAGATTCTTGTGAACAAGTCAGTGTGAGAAGCTTTAAGATCTCTTCGCTGAACGTTGATTTACGACACACCGAGCTCGTGTTTGACGCAAAGCGTGGCAGGAATGTCTCGGGCCTTGTTGGAAATGTTTCTCCCTTTGGAAAAACACTTGGCCGTCGAGGAAAAGCATGCAGAGGCCTTTTTTTTTTCTTTTTCAGGTTTACAGCGACCGTGGATTCCGAGTGGTTTGAGGAAATAAGCTGAATTGCTCGTACCCGATTGGAGACATTCGCCAATTTCTCTGTGGAGAAATCAAAACACGTAAATCATTCAAGAGGGGCCTGTTTTCCGCAAAACATCTTATGTAAGACGTATTTTCCAAACGAAGCAACGGAATAGTACTCTGGTTTTTGGATTTTAGTTTTTTTTTTTTTTTTTGCAGTGGCTAGTGTTGCTCTTGTATTCACAAATTTGCACCAAAATGACGTTCATGGATACAAGTAGAGGGTAGCGCCCAAAATAAATCAATAGTAATCTCACCCCAAAGGGTGTGTAGAGAAAAAAAAGTCACTTTGGGGTTCTTCGGCATGGATGCAGTCATTGAGAGCCCTCGCAGGTCTATTAATAGCATCATGGAAGGTCTGCATGTGTTGGAATGGGGGTGGGGGGGAGTGCGAGGTTGATGTCATCGCAATGGCCTGCACACTTTAAATGCGGATTAGGGAAAATTTAAACATCCGCCCGCTCAGACGGGCCTGGAACATGTGAACAAAACAGGCACCTAAACAGTCTATGTTGAAGTCCTACTAGAAAGAACACCACAGGCATGAATGTGCATGTTTCCGATTTGTCATTTTTAGTGAAATAAAACAAAACAAAACAAAAAAAACAAAACAAAGCAAAACTGCCAATTTCTGTGAAGTTAAAAAGTACGCGTTCCATGACCAGCAGGGGGCGTTGTTTCCTTTCCAGAAAGTGAGACTATCTTGAAATAGCTCCTGATAAGAGGCGTGAAAATGTAATTCTTGACGAAAATAATTATTTCCAAGTGTTTTGTTTGTTTGTAAATGTTTAAAGATGAACAAATAGAAATTAATTTCCAATATTTGGACTTTGGCAAAGGGAATCTTGGTGTTCAAAGGTCCTCAGGTAGGCTGAGAGAAACCTTCCAAGTTGCACTGTGACCTCTGACCTTTGCGGGTCTGTGATGGCCGGATTTCACAAATCCATCAGAGTTTATCAACATTGCCCACAAACATAAATTCGCTTAGTTTTACTGCCTTTTTAAAGCAGGTTTTTATTTATATTTTTCTAAACTGCTTCATTTTAGTTTTAGTATCAATTTTAGTTTGTTTTTTTTAATACATGCGATATTTGTTAAGTGCAAAATAATAATAAGAATTAAATAAATAAACTATTCTGGAATAAACAGTAATGCCAAAATAAATATATTGAAAATGAGTTAGTCCTTGACGTAAGAATGAGTTGAGTGGGCCAACAGCAGGACTGTTTGAAAGGCGCACCCCCATTTTCGTGTCCTTGGAAAAACTTCCCAGGCTTGTTGGAGCAGATCACCGCTTGTCTGACAGGACAGGCCTCTAAATCCTCAAAGCTTCCTCCTCAGGTTTGTTTTTTATTGCTTTCCCCCCACATTCCAGTGTCCCTAATCTTCATGGATCCTGTGTTTTGTGGAATGTAACACACTCAGTGCGCCGCCATGTACGCGGAGAAAATAGTTGGGACGGTGGAAGGCCAGGAATGACTGCGGAGTTTGTTCGCAGCATTTCCAAAGTGAGAGTCCGATCTTTCTGCAGGCCCGTGTTTTTTCCTTTGTTTCCACGCATTAGTTTTAATTTTTAATCCGAAACGACGCAGTTTAAAAATCGCTGATGAAAAAGGGACGAATTATTCAATTCCAACACTTGGATTGAACATCGATTTACCTCGAAAAGTTCTTAGGATCCCCGCCGACCAGTAAAATTATTTCAACAAAATTGAACGAGGCACTATAGGCAGGGAAAAACAGCTGAGATTAAAATCGGCTCCACCTAGTGGTCAGGAGGGGAACTACGGCTTGAAAGGGCTATTACTCTGCTTTACGGGTACACGTAGGTCGAAAATTTAAACTGGTTTCGTTTATCATAACATCCACAGTCAGGCTTTCATGAAATAAAATACACAAAACCTCACCCAACACATTCGTAATACAAATGGGGAAAAGGCCACTACGTACGTACCCCGGCCAGTGCCGCTCTCCCCTCTAATGTATGATGTCTATGTGATTTTTGACGCGCTGTATATGCAATTGTACTCCACTCTCCATATGCTATTCTGGGTTAATCCCACATGCAACACACACCCTATCGGACCGCCTGACATCTGGATGGCTCACTTTATCTCCCGTCGTCTATATTTAATGTTCTCATTCCTTCCCCTGACA